CATTTTATTAGGGGCGAAGCTCCTCTTAGTCCAACTTCGTCCTGCGTCAGGTGTAACCGAGAGAAGAAGAGACGAGAAAAAAAATCACGGCATATCCCTGGAGTGAATGATAATCAGTGGAGCGAAGCGTCCGTCGCTCAGTTCGTCCGTCCGTCTATTTGTCTGTCTTTTTGTCTGTCTGGTGAAGAGCACGAGCTGCCTCGGTGCTCCGCGCCCGACGCTCTACTTCGTCCATGCCTCACCAACGAACCACCGCGTACGGTGACGAGAGTGAGAGAGGCACTCCTTCCTCGCGTACCCAGACACAACTCGCGCAGCAGCCAATCGAATGGATGGATGGATTGATATGGCTGTACCCTTTAGATCGGGCGGTGGCTAACGCCACCAAGCCGTAATACTTAGTGAACTAACCGTTAGATTTATCTTTTTTTTTTTATTAAATAGTGAGGTTGAGGACTGGTACTTTGCAGTGAAAGGGTTAATTTTCACTCGTGCCTTGACTTTAGCCACCAATCAGAAAACCTCCTTGTAGTTAATTTTACCCGCTGAAAGTCTATTTTGCCCCCCCTGTCCCTAAACCCCAGTGCTTTGAATAACTCTGCGCCATCATCCTGAACTATAGGGTGAAGCCCTTTAGAGAAAATTATTAAGTGTTCAGCAGTTTCTTCTTCCTCTCCACACGCACTGCATACTGTGTTTACCCCTTCGTATTTGGCCCGATATGTTTTAGTTCGCAATACTCCCATCCTGGCCTCAAAGAGTACACAACTACACCGAGTATTATCATAGATCCTTTCCTTGCCAATTTCCTCCTTAAATGTTTGATAGATCTCTAGTGCTGACTTCTTAATCATGCCGATTCTCCACATATCGGTCTCAGCTTCTTTCACCTTCTTCTTAACCGGTAATTCTCTTTGGTTTGGCCACCTGCTGTTTTCGAAGTATTTATCAGTCAATTTTCTGGTTCGCTTCCTCCATTTTGCATCGACATTCTTCATGTAAAACTAGCTGAAAACTTTCCTAGCCCAACGCTCCTCCCCACTTTTTCTAAATCGCTTCTCAAATTTTGTCTTGCTGCTAGCTTCCCTGTCCTCCAATGATGTCTATCCCATATCACCTTATACTCCCAGATTTGGTGTATTCCCGTGAGCTCCTAAGGCAAGCTCACCTATTGCACGTTGCTTAATTTCTAATCATGCTTGAACTTCTGATCTCATGCACAAGACCGCATTGGCGAACGTCAGACCAAGAATCACGAACCCTTTTTATATCCCTCTCACAACATCACACCTATTGTAATTCCACAGTGCCCCGTTTTTCATCACCGCTGCATGCCTGTTACCTTTAGTCGTAACTTATATTTCGTGTTCCCTAAGGTACTCGACCCTATTGCTTATCCATACGCGTAGATATTTGTATTTATCTGTTATCTCTAGCGTGATCTCCTGTATTCTAAGCTCACTACCGTCATTATCATTAAAAATCCTGACTGCTGATTTTTCCTTACTGAATCTGAAATCTAACCTATCTCCCTCATTACCGCAGATGTCCATCGATTTCTGCAAATCTTCCTTGTTGTCGGCCATTAGCGCTATATCATCTGCGTACATTAATGCTGGCAGTGCCTGCTCAATGAGTTTTCCTTGTTTGACGAAAGAGAGGTTGAAGCCAAGTCCACTTCCCTCTAATTTAGCCTCTAATTCTTGTAGGTAAATCATGAATAACAAGGGTGACAGAGGACACCCCTACCTTAAGCCCGCGTTTGAAATCAGAGAGTGGCGGTACAGTGCCATCTAGAATCTCCTCACTAAACTGCAGTTTGTATCCACTTCTATGAGACAGCGCCGTCTATTACACTGTTCAGGAGATACTGCCTTCCTTTCTTTCTCGTCTCTTCTCTCGGTTACGCCTGGCGCAGGACAAGGTTAGGCTAAGAGGACCTTCGCACTTTAAAAAAAGGCAGTACCTTCCCTAAAAGAAGACATCGACCCTAACTGAAGTTTCCGTGCGCCCAACGCACGCTGAGAAATGTGTATTTTTGTTTCACTCCCGATCGTCGAAATGCAGGTGACCGCCCATTTCGCATGGCACTCCTGGCACTGATGTCGCAAAGCTACAGCCGGACTGATCCAATCATGACAGATCAAGGCTGTATTGGAAAGTTCGTATTCGTATACGGGCGGGTCGGCACCGTATACCTTGAGAGCGCATTCTAAACTTTTGAAGCCCGCATTCACGTGTCCAAAGTTGTGATGAACTTCACTAGGCGGAGTGGACAGAGCAGTTGAGAGAACGCGAGCGGTTTCATCAAAGTCGGAACAGGTATCGGTCTTAAGAGGCTGCAGCCTTGAGCCCCCAAATACCAAGGATTCACAACTGTAAAAGAGCTTGCTTCTAACGCATAGATGGCATAAAAAAAAAACTCTTCATCTCATCCCTCTTGTCCTCTTATATAGAAGCCTGTGTGACGTGTTGATGCGGCGCTTAGATTAACCGAAATTTACGGATGCATTGACACTACGAACATGTCAGTGTTCAATTCAGTTGATGGTCATTATATATTATTTTAAAACTAGTTAATAGAATGGGCGCATCTTTGCGCTCTTTCACCATATTTCTTGTTTTTTGTTTCTCGCGCTCTTCTACAGAAATATGAACGAACTGGCCCACACCAAACTTTCATTTTGATGAAATAGGTTCGCGAACCAGGGAATGTCGTTAGGTTTAGCACTTATAACCCTTTCCTGCTAACCCGAGATTCCTGCTAACCCGAAGGTCGTGGGATCGAATCCCGGCTGTGGCGGCTGCATTTTCGACGGAGGTGATAATGTTTGAGGACAGTTTACTTGGCATATAAGTGCAGGTTAAGGAACTCCAGAGTCTCTCATAATCATATCATGGTTTTGAAATGTTAAACCCAAGTTATTATTATTATTATTATTATTATTATTATTATTATTATTATTATTATTATTATTATTATTATTATTATTATTATTATTATTATTATTATTATTAGCATGTGGCATTCAAAAAATTCACCGTTTCATGGGAGCCAACACTATGGCAATCAGGATACTGAAGGTGTGCTAAAATTCCTTATTCTGGCGCAACTCATGACTGCGGTATCCATGAAGCCAGTGGTTAAAGTGAAACACAAATTTCGAGACCTTTTATGCATCTTTTTCAAAGGTATGTGTTGTGCCAATTTCTGATCTTTCTCACTGACGTGCTTTGACCGCAAAATAACACACACACAAAGTAAAGAAACACTCAACGACAAGCACAAGAGGCACTTCCAAGCGGCCAAAGCATGTCAGTAAGCAAGTACCAACTAAGCCAACAATAAGTATTGTTACAAAATCTTTCAGATCTTCCATTGGGGAGGTGCTTTGGCTCGTCTAGTCCATAAATGTGGATCTATGCGCAGATCGTCAGACCCACTGGAACATATATACCAAATCAGGCACTTCAGTATAAAACCAGAGAATGGGAAGGACTGTTTAAAGGACATACTTCATAGAACAAGAGTTGCGTATACTGGGAACGAAAGAAAACGTAATCTAAAGAAAGTACCGAAACCAATTAAACACGTAATATAACACACAGATATCAGTTTCGTGAATGGAATGGTAGAGCTGCGTTTCTGGGGACCTCTATTTTACTAACACAGAAAAAAATACTGGACGTCATGCCTGCTACTCATCTACAGAAAGTGAAAAGAAATTAGTGTTTGAAAGCAGCTGCCCCTATGTCCGAAACATTGGTCGGATAAAGTTCACTTCACCAATAACGAATTCTCATCCTTCTTTTTCTTCTTTTCTCTGGTGTTTGCTGCAGCTAAGCACATTGAGAAGTGATAATAATATCTGGGCTTTTGCGTCCCTAAACCATGACATGGGTTCGTATCCCGGCTGTGGCGGCTGCATTTCCGATGGAGGCGGAAATGTTGTAGGCCCGTGTACTCAGATTTGGGTGCACGTTAAAGAACCCCAGGTGGTCAAAATTTCCGGAGCCCTCCACTACGGCGTCTCTCATAATCATATGGTGGTTTTGGGACGTTAAACCCCACATATCAATCAATTAAACCATGACATGATTATGAAAGATGCCGTATTGGAGGGTTCCGCAAATTTTGATCTTATCGTCGTTGACGTACATTGACTTCACACCAACCACTGTGACACCTTTATGATTGTAATTATGAAAGTGGGGGATGAATAGTTCATTTTTCTTCGTAATTCGTTAATTTCAATGGTTAGTACTCTTATTTCCGCACTTACTTTGCATTCACATCCGCCATTTTCCATTACGTCTTCCGATTTGTTCAATCCTGCCAAATAATCCATGCCACGTGCCACACCGCAATAATAGCTGACGTCAAACGCGCATCTATTCGAAACAAATGTGCTTATCCACATCAACCCCGCTCCGTCCGCTCGTGTGAATCCCAGCATCCTGCAGAAGAGATAAAAACATTCCGTCGAGACCTTTTGTTTTGTAAGTTTCCGCTATCGCTCAAAAATACTAAAATGGACGGCCGGTGTGGTATTGACGCAAATTGTTCTGTAGATGCATCGCAAATATGGAAAAGTAATGAAGGAAAAAAAAAGAGAGAATCATAAATTGACCCGCTCAAACTCGTGGTCCAGAATTCAACGAGGCCCAGTTTTTACCAGTAAAAGAAATTGCAGCTTAGAATATCTCCCAAACATCCGGCGCAGGCGCAGCTGTTGACGTACGCACTGCATCCGGTATCATTCGCAGTTAGCTCTCAGTCAATAACGGAATGTGCGATTCTCACATCGGGAAAAAACAACGTCACAAATGGCCCGCGCTTTCGACCGCCGCGCGCTGGCTTTCAAAGCATAGGGCGACACAACACAAACAACTCTCCCGATTCGTGGCGCCGCCTGGCGGCGAGGCAGTCCAGTCTGGAGGAGGCGCGCGGTACAAAACGACATGCGGCCGCTCCGAAACCCCAAACAAGCTTTCAAGCAGCCGCGCGTGCGACGCTTGTCAGCGTACAGCTGACACTAGGCCTAGCGGTCGTAAACATAGGGACGTGCGGGCATCGCTGGACGCAGACGACGCTTGGTCACACAGAGATCCTTACCTACGCTGGGCTGGTTCGCTTCCACTGTTACGCTCCTATAGCGTGTCATAACAATCTAGAGGCTTCGCAATCGTAATCGCGCCCCTTATCATCGCCCCGGGGGGTGCTCCGAGATCATGAACCGCAGCCTTATCATCGCGCCGAAGCCGAGGTCGCTGCCGGCGTCCTCGCGGCAATCGGCGCGACACGGAGTGCGCAACGAGAAGCGACCGCATCCGCACAGCGAGGACGCCATGCAGGTTCGACAGCGGATCATGAAGGTGGCACGCCGGCTGGGGCTGGTGTTCGGCGTGCGTTCCCGGTCGACGGCCGAGGAGTCCCTGGTGATGAGGTCGTCGATGAGGAAACCGCCGTCTACCGGGACCCGGTCGCCCAACAAGACCAAGAAGACCGTGCGATTCGAAGACACGGCAACGGTGAGTGTCATTCGTAACCGCCTATCAAAGTTAACTATCGATTTTGGAAGTCACGAGGGGCCTCACAGTCAGCTTCGTAGTGGCCTTCAACTAAAGTCGTCATCGTCAGCCTGTCACGTCCATAGCATGGTGAAGGCTGCTCCCAATGATCTATTTGTCCTGTCCTTTGCAAGCTGATGGCGTCTCATACCTGCACATTTCATTGTGTAAATTGCATTACCCTTTCCTGCACTGAATGCAGCCCTCTGCTGCAGTCCTTATCCTTTAGTGTTCATTCCGTAGCACTCACCGACCATCGATTTTTATTTTATTTTTTTCATTCTGTAAATTACGATACCTGGCAAGGCACATTTCCTTTCTCTGAATTTCAACTAGGACACACACTATACATCTGGTTGTCGATTAATTTCAACTGATTTGTTTAACCAACGGGATTTAACTGTGAACAGCTGAAAGCCATCTGTGCAGTATTCCCTTTCTGACACGGTCCAGGAGCATCTATTCTGAACTTCGTGGTGTACCTGAAGTAGCTCAGATTTACGTACAGTTCCTTTCACTGCTTGTTCCTTGCTTGAGTTGCGTCAAAAACGCAATACGAACATTTATGAATGTTGCATTTTCATGCCTCACCTGGTCGAGGAACATCTGTGCTAGACTTCGCAATGCTCCGCCTCCATCTCAGATTCACCTACAAATCATACGGAAAAAAATTTATTCCTGCAGTTCCATAACACTGAATATTGCGCGTTAAGAAATGATAGCCGCCAAGAAGGCCGAGTCGAGTGGGTCACCACTTGACCTCCAAATTGTTTGGTCGAAAAGATGCGATCGACTTATCAAAAAGGTAAGTTCCCTACTTGCGTTTTCTATTTGCCAACAACATCTCATATGCGCATTATTCGCCCAGTGAATAGTTTACTGAAAGAGTCGGTTTTACTCGTTCATGTTATAGCAACTCATCTTTAAGTGAGTTGGGTGTAATCTGTATCGGAAGGATACTTACATAGGCTAACAAAAAAACAAAGCTCGCCTATTTACATTCACTATGTAAGTTTGTCTACGCTTGTTTTCATGCCGGCGCGTTACACGCACGTGTTTACGAGTATGCGCGCCAATTTATGCGCGTATGTTTCAGAGTGCACTCTTACATGCGTGTGCATTCTTTTTCCTTTTATCTGATAATACTCCTGACGGTGCTTCCGGGAACACCTCGTTTTTTTTGTCTAGCTATCCAATTTCACCCGCCGTGGTATAGCTATGGCTTATCACGCAGGGCGTTACGCTTGTAAGCTCAAAGGCGCGGGTTCGACTCCCGGCCGTGGGGGCCGCATTTCGATTGAGGCGAGACGCAAGGCAGCCGGGAAATCGGTTTACGGGCACGTCAAAGAACGCCAGGTGGTCAAAATTTGCGGAGCTTTCTCACCACTACTTCGTCCCTCATAATTATATCGCGGTTTTGGCACGTGAAATCCCCATTTTGGATGCTATCTATCTATCTATCCATCTATTTATCTATCTATCTATCTATCTGACGAATCATCGCGTGGGATCGCTCCCCAGTTGCAGATATCCGTAAGCCGACAGACCACTGCTCTTTCAAACAGTCTGAACTTGAAAAGATGCGCGTGATGGTGATTTGTGTTTTGGGTGTGGAGAGAAGAAATGGATTGGTAGAAACAGGAGAGACGCACATTTTATGCAAGGTCCGCGCGATGCGTCAGTTATGTGGTTCAAAGGCATTGAGTGGACGCAGAAACAGCCACGTCGCTTTGTTTCGTCACGAAACAAAGCGATCGGCGTTTGTACAGTTGCGAGCGCGAATTTCAGACACCCTTCCTGTTCGGAGCAGTGCTGGTTTAACGAGAATGCCGCTTCGTTATTTTGCACCACTCTGTGAGAATGGAAGAGGTGTTTCAGCAGGAGCAGTCTTTCAGTCAGTATACATTCGAAGAGAGAAAGAGATAAGGATGCAAGGAAACGCGGGCAGGTTAACCAGACACACATCCGGTTTGCTATCCTGCACTGGGGAAGGGATGAAGGGCAGAAAAGAGGTCGGAGAGAGATATGAAGGTACGCACAATCACAAGCACACTCGGGGGAACATACACAATCTACAGGTGGTCGCTCAGGTTTGTTGTCTTCAAGTAAAGTAGGAGTGCTTTAATCGCTTTCTGCGCAATTGCCGACGCCCAAGGTCCCAGAATCTTTTGCACAGAGAATGGTATAGAGTTCAGTTTGTTCAAAACCATCCGGAGTTGGCATCGCTGCGTGCCGTAGCAAGTGCAGCTGAACTAGACGTGTCCGATGGTCTCTTCAGCTCCGCAGGAGTCACATGTAGAGGTACATTCGAAAAAAAAATGTATATAATTCTTGCAAGCTCGAGTGTCGAGGAAAAAAGAAGCAGTAAAGCAAAGAGAACGCTTTAAAAGTATTATTTGAAACTATAGGGGCGGATAAACTACTACGTAAAAAAAAGAAAATGCGACCACCCAGGACGAAGAGCTGTTTAACCATTACACCCAAACATCGAACTGCAAAACACAGCACAGGTTGTTAAGCAGCGAATCTGAAGCGCGCGGCCACGGCAGTCATCACAAGGTTAATGCCGGTTGCTCATGGTAGCCTTTCTAAATTATTACTGGTTTCATTTGTCCTGAAGTTTTATTTGTTGTTTGCCGCCCGCGTATACCCCTCTTCATTTTTAGGGGACCAGTGGTGCGAAGTGAACGGATGTATTTTATTTGCCTATATATTCGTATTCATTTCAGTATTATGCTATAGCGCCTAAAGTATACCACCCGGCAACAGCACAACAACACTCTACTATTCTTCGAATGATCTTGTGGTGGGTGCTACCCCCCCCTCCCCCACTAAGCAGTAAAAAAGGGGGAAAAAAGGAAAACAACCTGGCACCACCCCTACACGTGGCCTCGGGAGATGCGATTTACACGACAGCCTTGACTGCGCGCATGCGCAAGTGTCTGTTTGTAAACACGTCTCTCACCTTGAACCACGTCGCTGCGCTTTTGCAACCTTAACAACGGCCACTTTCTGTTTCTCTTCTCGCTTTTGTGGGAACGCGATATCGGAAGGCCCTTACAGCTGGCATCTCTTTTCAACCCCCCCCCCCCTTTTTTTTGTGTGTGTGTGTCTTTTTTTCAAAAAGAGAACTTTTATTTCTATTTTTTGAAAGCCGAAAATAGCTTCGAATCCACCTACAACGAACGACTTTTCGCAATGAACTATTCTCTACGTAAAATCAAATCAAGCCTTTTTTTATTTGATATATACAGATAACACTGTTGTTCCGACTATGCCCGGCCGCGGTGGTCTAGTGGCTAAGGTACTCGGCTGCTGAGCCGCAGGTCGCGGGTTCGATTCCCGGCTGCGGCGGCTGCATTTCCGGTGGAGGCGGAAATGTTGTAGGCCCGTGTACTCAGATTTGGGTGCACGTTAAAGAACCCCAGGTGGTCTAAATTTCCGGAGCCCTCCACTACGGCGTCACTCATAATCAAATGGTGATTTTGGGACGTTAAACCCCACAAATCAATCAATCAATCCGACTATGTCACAGGCGTTACGGAACGTGCACTTCACCACAAACAACTCACCCTATGCAACGAAGTAATGAAGTACCTTCAAGGCCTCGAGCAATTGTTTATGAAGGCGTTTGACTGCACAGTCCAAGAAACTCTAGAAACCCCTATATGGGACAGAAGCAATACAAAGTACCACAGTTAACAGCTCAGAAGTTCAGCTTATCTTTTTTTTCCTTCTGCGACTCTCCAGTGCAAATACGATATCTATCGGATCGTCGCTGTCGTTTCAGTTTTCGATTCGCAGTGGTCCACTGTAAAGGTCAATCTGTGCAAGCATGTTTTCGCGTCTTCTGACAGTTTATCGAAAAGGGCGGATGATTTGTAACATCGACTGTTCAGCTGGAGTGCACACGTGGATTCAATGGGATTCCATCACGCTTCCCGCGTAAATTCTTTTCTTCTTTTTCTGCTTGACAAAGCAGGTGGAGCTCATCTCCATCGTGTCATTTTTTATAGCTTCCCTCTTTTCTTTTTGTATATCAAGATAACTGTATGCTCCGTTAAGTTGTTAATTCTACAGATGGCCGGTTGGCCATAACACGTTGCACAGCGGAATGGCACAAAAAAAGCAAAAGAAAAAGGAGGGGGGGTGGAGGCAGGAAGGTCAGACGGACCAGTGTCCTTGTCTCATTTCGCTGCCCTACAAAGAGAACGTGTGAAAGGAGGAAGGAGGACGTGTAAAGAGGGAGAGAAGTACCGCTTGCACCCGAAAGCCTCTCTTCATTCGCGCTCGTTTCCCCTCAACCCAACGGCAGGGCACGCTTAGGGGTTGCATAAATAAGCATCGTTCATTTCTTCAAACTATTACTATTGCTACTACAGTGCTACTACTCCTACAACTACTACACATGCTACTATAGCTGATACTAATACTATTTCTACTACCACAGCTGCTATTACTAATATGTACTGAACAGTAACACCGCACAACTCGCATTTTGTGCAGATCTGTAACTGCGTTATACGGTGCGAGAATAGCTGTCCGCGTCAGGTAGTGAAAGTGACTATGGTCACTGCGTATCCCTGACCCGGAAACGCTGCCTCCGATTTCCAGCCGGACCGTCGCCGTCCGGATCAAGATATGGCTGAACGGCGCCCTACATAGCCACGAACAACCTTTGACGCCTCGTTCAAGGGTTCTTTCCAGAGCGAGGCGCAGTGATTCTCTCAAGCAGAGAGCGTGCTACGGTCGGTCAAAACTTAAAAATCACTGTCCAGACAGAGCGACTGCCATCACTGTCCAGGAAAGAGCTACATTGCATAGGCGTTCCATCCAATCCCATTTACTCATTTCCATGACGTCATGTACTTTTCGCGTGTTTCCAATAGCTGTTGTTCCGCATACAGGCACCTTTTCCTGTCACTGAAAACTTGAGAATCCTAGCAAACTTAGTCAGAGAT